AGAATAATTAATCAAAAATGATTTACTTAACAAGAATCATAATTAAAAATGAATATAGCTTTCAATATTTAGCTTTAATTGATTCGGGAGCAGATCTAAACTGTAGCAATGAAGATCTAGTTCCTACTAAATATTTCGATAAAACAAGTCAGATATTAAATACTGCTGATAGAAGTAGATTGATAATTAAATATAGGTTATCCAATGCTGTTGTTTGCAATAATGGAAATTGCTTAGAATTACCTTTTATTATGGTTAAAGGCTTAAGTCAGGCAGTCATTTTAGGAACACCATTCTTAAGCCTGCTTTATCCATTATCAATGGATGCTACAGGAATTGAATCTACTATCAATGGCCACAAACTAAAGTTTGAATTCATAAATAAACCAAAAATAAAAGAAATAAATAATGTAAAAATGACATAGAAAATAAAGAAAAATTTCTATGCTATCTAAAATCAGAAGTAAAGTATAAATCAGTTGAAGAACAATTATTACTACCTAAAAATAAGAAAACAAATAGATGATATGAGAAAACAAATAGAAAAAGAAATATGTAATGATTTGCCTAATGCATTTTGGGATAAGCAAAAACATATTATAACTCTACCTTATGAGGATGGGTTTGATGAAAGAAAAATTCTTACTAAAGCAAGGCCCATTCAAATGAATGCTAGATTATTAGAAATTTGTAAAAAAAAAATAGAAGAATTACTCAATAAAGGATTAATAAGGAAAAGTTCATCTCCTTGGAGTTGCTCGGCATTCTATGTAGAAAATGCTGTAGAAAATGAACGAGGAGTTCCTAGACTTGTAATTAATTATAAACCATTAAATAAAATACTTCAATGGATTAGATATCCAATACCGCATAAAAATGATCTGCTTGATAGATTAGTAAATGCATGTATATTTTCTAAATTTGACCTAAATCAGGATATTGGTAAATTCAGATAGCTGAGAAAGATAGACACAAAACAACATTCAATGTTCCATTTGAACAATACGAATGAAACCTTATGCCATTCGGATTAAAAAATGCTCCATCAGAATTTCTAAAAAATAATGAATGATGTATTTAACCCATATATGAAATTTATGATAGTCTATATTGATGATGTACTAATCTTTTCAGAAAATCTTCAACAACATTTCAAGCATATCAATGCCTTTTTAAATGTTGTAAAACATGCAGGATTGGTAGTATCTGCTAGAAAAATCAATCTGTGCCAAACAAAGATAAGATTCCTAGGTCAGAATATATATCAAGGGACTATTGTTCCAATAGAAAGAGCCATCCAATTTGCTGATAAATTCCTTGACATAATTCTTAATAAAAATAAATTACAAAGGTTTTTAGGATGCTTAAATTATATAAATGAATTTTATAAAAATTTAGTTATTATAGCCAAACCTCTGTATGATAGATTAAAGAAAAATCCTCCTAAATGAACAGATAAGCATACAAAAGCAGTCCAAGAACTTAAAGCTAAAGCAAAAGAATTACCTTGCTTAGCTTTATCTGATCCAAATGCTTTTAAAATAATAGAATGTGATGCCTCAAAACTTGGATTAGGACGCATACTGAAACAAAGAATACATAATACCAAACAGTTAGTTCGCTATACTTCTAAAGCTTGGAATAATACTCAACAGAACTATTCCATTGTTAAAAAAGAAATACTTTCAATAGTCCACTGTGTGACAAAATTTCAAAGCAATATTCTTAATACCACATTTTTAATAAGAACCGACTGCAAAGCTGTTAAAGATGTTCTTCTTAAAGATGTTCAAAATATAGTTTCAAAGCAAATCTTTGCTCGATGCTAAGCCATTCTATCCTCTTTTGATTTTACAATAGAACATTTGAAAGGTTCTTCTAATTCCCTTCCTGACTTTTTTACTCGAGAATTTTTACAGAGGGGCAACAACAACAACAATAATAATAATAACAACAACAACAACAACAACAACAACAACAACATCAACAACAATTAATAGGAATATTAATAGGAAAATTTTATATAGAGTTGAGGCTCTAAACAATTAAATTAAGGCCCACCTCAAAAATTTTACTAGAAGGCGTTGTTTCGATGCTCAAATATCCTCAAATTGATCATCTCGATGCATGGACGTGAGACAAAAAAAAAAGTTACTTCAAGTTTTGGAAATAATGAATCTTGTAACACATTTTTTGACCGTCAATTTTCAAGATTTTCATAGATTTGCTTGATCTACACTATTTTTGAAGCTTTAAAGTTTTTAACTCAAGATGAAAATATATTGAGTTCGATGAAAATTGGCCTACCACATTCTCTTTCAAGATTGAGTTCGATGGAATATGCCATATCTTAAAGAGATATGGAGACGGAAAATTCCAGATAAAGTTCATGTTTTTATTTGGATTTTGATCAAGATAAGGTTTTGACTATCAATAATTTAAAGAAGAGAGGCAAAATTTTGGTCAATAGTTGTTTTTTTTGTAAAATTGTAGAAGAGAATGGGGATCACCTGTTTCATCATTGTTCATATGCATACGTGTCTTTTGTTATTCCATCATCGGTTTCCTTTATTGACTCTCAAATGAAAATTTATGGTTTGCCTAAGGTTGGAGTCTTTATTTGGGATATTTTTCTGAGAGCAATTTTATAGGAGGTTTGGTTAGAAAGGAATAGAATAACGTTTGATGATGTAGTGCTAGATATCCAACAAGTCAAGAATTAGAGTATAGAGCTGGCTTAGTATTACTAAGGAAGGGTGTGGGGTATCTAAACTTGTTGTGGAAAAAATAATACCGCACTTCTAGTTTCCATGAGGTATTTAAAGATAAGACCAAAATGTAAGTGGCCACCATCAAGTAGAGGTTACTATAAGCTTAATTTTGATGGATCTCCGTTTGGGAATCCAGGAAGGGCAAGAATTGGGGGGCATGCCATGATTGTGATGGTAATTTTGTTTTTTGCTATGCTGCTCTCTGTGGAGAGGTCACTGCTAATCATGTTAAAATGTTAGCCCTTGTTAAAAGGCTATTTATTTGGATAGAAAAGAAAAATCTGGATAATTATTTGGTAGTTGAAGGTGATTCCCTGAATGTTATAAATTGGTGTAATTTGTCTTCGATACCTCCATGACAACTCAGATACATTTGGATGGAAATTATGGATTCGGTAGCAAAATTTTCGGTTTCTTTCAATCATGTGTATAGGGAGACAAATTCCATAGTTGATCATTTGGCCAAGAAGGAGCCTTGTTTGATTCATTAATAGTTTCAATGGCTGTGTTTTAATCTTTGTTATGTTTGTCATGGATACATTCAATCAATAAAGTTAAGTGTTCTCGTCAAAAAAAAAATATTTACATAAATATGATGGGGGTGAGTTCTTCTAATGAAGAAAGGAAAAAAATTAATCACATTGGGATTTGAGAGCCATTTTAGCATCTCTGATATAGAATAACATATGATATTGTAAATCATACGACGTCGTGCTCATGAGGCGCATTCTGTCCATTTTTTATTTGGGTAATTTTTTATTTGGGTAATTCAATGGGTTTGACAAGCCCTAACCTATTTTTCTAAATCGTTAATGGTTTTTTGAAGGCATTAGGTAAGAATAGAAGCCTAAACCTTAGCTGGGGCCGACCACCACGACTCGAACTCATTATTATATTGTCCATTTCCTCCTTTTGGCAAAATTTAGTGTAGAAGTATTTTAGAACCCAACATTTGGGGGATGAATTGTCTTAAAGCAAGCAACCACTTCTAAATAAAAAAAAAAAAAATTCGAACTTATAATATTTTTTATTTATTTCGTTAGTACTATTCATAAGTACTATTCACAAATATTGTTCATGAGTATTGTTCACAAGGGTAAAACTGTTATTACAAAATTTAAGTTTAAATTAATATATAGGTTGTTTTAATCATTGTATAAACATGTAATGACTTTAGATATTGAATTACATTATATAAGAGGTGTGAGGAGCCTTGAGATGAACAATTTCACATGATTTTTAAAAATTGGAAGAGAGAAAAGCTTAAGCTTTTGAAACCCTAGCTTGAGTTATCAAGAATAAACCCCCTATTTGTTTGAATTATGATTGTATTTGGCTTGTTCCTTCTTGATTTTATTATTCCCTAAACTTTCTTAAATTTTAGATCCATACAACGAAAATAAACAAGTTTTTGAAAATTTATTTTCTTAATATTTTTTTAAGGACCCAATCAGTACACATGTGAATACCATAATAGTAGATGCAGAAATGTGTCATTAGGAAGCCAAATAAAGAGTAGAATTCCTCCTCATCACAAATAAATTTTTAATTTTTTTAACTTTTATAAGTTCTGAATTTTTTAGGTCTCCAATTTGGATCACCCAAGTCCAGACTTGCCCAAATGGGATTCGGAGTTACTTGGTGAGTCCGAATCGGCTCGTCCGAGTTTCCTTCACTTGCCAGAGGCCGAAATAACCAACTCTTGGATTCAGATAAGATTGTCGCGGCGCATTCAACCTCATGCTAGTGTTTTTTTCCTTTCATAGCATTATTAATATAATGATGATAACACTATATATAAATTTTAAAAATAAAAAAATCTTTTTAAACCTATATCTAACCATCTCACTAAAATAGATGGTTTATGTTAATTAGGCTAGAAAAACACTTTCTAAAACGTTTTTTATTTTTTCAAAGTTTTTTTTTATTGTTCTTTAATATAATGATGATAACACTATCTATAAATTTTAAAAATAAAAAATCTTTTTAAACCTATATCTAACCATCTCACTAAAATAGATGGTTTAGGTTAATTAGGCTAGAAAAACACTTTCTAAAGCGTTTTTTATTTTTTCAAAGTTTTTTTTTATTGTTCTTTAGAATGAAAATAGTATAAATCTAAATTTTTTCATTTTTTTAAAATTTTTTTTTATTGTTCTTTAGAATGAAAATAGTATAAATCTAAACTATTGTCTCAAACAAATGTCTCTAACATGGTTCTTTTAACGTGGCTGCATTATATTACCGTCTTTTAACGTGGTTGCATTATATTACCGTTTCATGAAATCATTGCCCTGGCCTTCCCCCTTCCTTATTTGTATAATTAAAGGCAGCGGCAAAGAGTCCCAGTTTTTGTGACAGTAGGCAGTCATGGCCATCTCTCTTGCAGCACTCCAAGCACCTCCAATGGTGGCCTTCTTTAACCTTTGCACCAGGACCCCTATCCTCACCAACTCCTCTCCATATCCATCTCCCATTTCTCCGATTTTTGGTTCTTGGGCTCATCTTCTCTGTCTCTTTTTTCTATCTTCATTGAAAGGTAATCTCCCTCTTCTTGAACATATGCCTATCTATTATTTAGCTTCTTTTTTTTCCCTGTTATTTACCAGACCCATGTGAGAAGGGTCCTTACAGCATTCTCTTGTGATTCATCGTGGAGATTTCGCACTGTTTGGGCATCTTCTTTTATTGGGTTATGTTTAGATTTTGCTTGTAATTGGTGATAATTGACTTTGCAGAGATTGCAAGCATGGATATTTGAGTTATGAACAGAAGATGGGTGCTTTAGTTGAATAAGACTAATTTATATATGCATTTCTTTTTGGATGAATGTTAACTTATATGCATTTTGTTTTTCTGGTTATTCTGATGAACTTGCTTTTCTCTGATAGTTTTGGCTGGGTGGTTCATCTAAAAAAGTAATTGTAGTTTATGCCAGACTTTCCCTGCTCCAATTTGTTGCATTCTTTTAATTTTTTTCCCCTTTTTCTCTTTATTCTTTTCATTTAGTGATGGGACTGGAGAAGTTATTCACTTGGGAAAGCTTCCCTTGTAAACCCCTCTGGACTTGCATTTGCCTCAATTCGTCTTTCCCCTTCAAAAAAAATGAGCAAAAGAAGTTACTTTGCTTGCTTCTTGTATGACAAAATGTCATTTGGTGTTTTTTGGTAACTAGGTTGCGCCCCATATACTTTCTACACTTTGGATATATCATACATATTTTTTGACATTTACATATAAATATTTACATATATTCTAGCTACACTATATTGTATATTTCACTATAGATCTACCAAGAATTTCGATGGATCACATCGTAATGATTACTTTTTTATTTATGTCATTTTATATATACAATGCACGAGCAACATATTGTACTAACACTAGTGCATTAAGCATGTACAAGTATCTGGACAATGATGTCTTAAGAAATACAAACCTGAATTACCATTTTAGGTGTTGTTGGTAGAGTGCTGGTCTTTAATTACACACTCTCGAAAGCTATATGAGTGGCTGAAATGTGGGGGTGCCCTTGCTCTCTGCATTGTGAACATTTTATACAAGATTGGTTTCACTAAGTTGGAAAATGAGGCTATTGTCTATGGCCTTTGAATGGAAAATGTCTGGAAGTCGCAAACCTTTCTTTAATCGGAGACCTCCGTGAACGTTTGCGCTGGTGAAACTGAAAATCAGTAGGTAATTGTGAAAACGGAAAAATTAAAAACCAATAGAGCATGCTGCCAAATTGAGACCAAGTATAAATTGCCGATGCATTCTGTTTCTTATCTGGATTACAGTTCATTTCCAGGTGAAGTTACAAAAAGAAAGAATGAGGCAATTTGAAGCATTAGAGATTTTACTTTATTGCTCCCTTATGTACAGTTTCTGAGAGTGGTAATGCAAAAATGCCTCTGATAATTGTGGTACAGTAATTTTGTGAATTGTTATTAATATAATTGTGATTTACTAGTAAATTTTGTTGCATAATTTTTTATTTTCAATTGACTATGAGTAAATTGAATAACTATTTATTGTAACCATGCAATGGCAGCATCTTGTTTTTTTTTTCTTCAGATAAAGTTAGCTTTCTATAAATCTAGAACCTGTCAGTAAACAGGATTCTCATGGTTTAGTTCTTGAGGTAAAACCTTTGCACTTATAAAGGTAGGTGTATCTTAATAGGTTTGGTTCTAGAGAATGTCTATGGCACTTTCAAACTCATAATCCAGAATGGAAGTCTTCTTGTTTCCTTCATTGTGTAGAGATCCCATTAGCAGTTAGTTTATCTGTGTACTTTTGGATAGCTGTGAAGTCTTTCCCCAATATTTACCCTATGCTTCTAATATGATAGTGCACTTTTTTGCTGTCGTATGAACTCTGATATTTTCCATAATTTAGAGTTATCTAATGTTTTATTTGTCGTATGAACTCTGTCATAGAACTTGTAGAGGGGTCCCTAGAAGCAAAGAGGCATAGAGGAGCTCATTCCATGTATCTGGTAAACCAGGCAAGCGCCAGCGATTGCAATCTGCAAAGGGTTCTTGCTGCTTTGTTACTCAATAGTGAGAAGCTTCCCTCTCCTCTCTGTAAAAACCGACGTGTGTGTCTATGCGATACTGTGATAGATGTGCTATGTTCAGACATCTCACCACTCCATCCATCTCGGCAACAATCTTCTATGTCACATTCTTTATGGCTTGTGGAAATCTTACGTTGTATGAGTCGTCCATGGACGGTTGTGTCGGGTTATAGCACCATTCCTTCCTATTAAAAAATCCCGATGAAATCGACTAAACTTTCCGCGTCACCCACAGAAGACCTAGAGGCTTGGAATGTGGTTCTCTTGAAGACTAATCTGAGCTTCCCACCCCTTTTGCCTGAGCTGTCAGGGATCGAAAATGGTGGGGAAAGAAAAATGGATCTAAATTCTAAGAAATGCAACATATTTGATGGGAATTGGATATACAATCCATTGCAACGTCCGATATATGACCCATCATTCGTGTTCTTAAGCGAGCAAGTGAGCTGCTAGAAAAACAGACGGCCGGATTCCGAGTAAGAGAAATGGCAGTGGAAAACAAAAGATTGTGAAATTCCAAGGTATATAGGCCATACATGGTACTTATAAGTAAACATTATGATATAGAACACTACATGTTTAGTCTCAATTAAGTAAAAAAAATGGTTTGTGCCTTTATATTGCTGTGGTTTTAAGTGTTGTTTGTTTAGTGGGAATGGTTTAATGGGATGGAGTTGTTGGAGAGGATGAGAGGGAAACAAATAGTTCTTGTTGGGAATTCGTTGAATAGAAACCGATGGGAGTATCTGGCTTTCTCCTTCCACCATCTCGAGCGTATGTAAACATGCAAAGTGCAGTGCATAAAGTATTTAGTGCCTTGGTAAAATTCTCTCTCTCTAGATTATTGCTCTCCCTCCCTATATTTTGGTGAGTTACCCGACTCACCTATTCTATTGTGTCAAAAAATGTTACATCCGCCAAAAGAATTCGAAAAATAATATTTATATTTTATAAAATAAAAATGCATGGTTGAGATTATCGATCTGGATGTGGAATGGATCAAGACCAAACTAAATCTAGCATGGTATGGGTCTCGATCCAGTTCCCCCTAAAATTTCCCTTTTCATTTTTTATTTTTATTTATTTTTAAGTTTATCTAATATTGTACTTGGTTCCTCCTAAATCCCCACCTTTTTTATTTTTATTTTATTTTATGTATTACAAATTTTTTTGGGTCATTGACCTAGGCGATCCAAAAAAGATCTAGATTGCTAATCCAGATAGGGATATCCACCCAACCGATCCTTTTTTTAAAACAGTGATATGAATGTAACTAATATCGAATCTATTCGCTTTTTGCTTAGCTTTTGAACAAAATTTCATGGGTGTTTTTTCTTTTTTTGGAGCTAAGTTAATGGGGCTCGACTCGAGGTAAAAGAAGTTACCCTTTATGCTCAGGCGAAAGAAGACAATAATCATAAAAGAAGACAATAATCATGGAAGGGTCAACGTTCTTTTCAACCCATTGTGACCAATTCCTCATGGCCATCTTTTATGCAATTTCAGCTTCCAAGTCTTCCACCGATTGCCCTTCCTTTTCAAAGAAATCCCACCTGTGTTCCCCACACTTTGTAAATACGTGTTTGCAATCCACTAGCGTTATTCATTCTTATAAGCTTGTGATATTAGACTTGAAAAAAATTGTTATATTTGAACCCAAAATTTCAATAGCTAAATAGTTATTCATAGTTAAAATTTAGCAGAATGAATGGAGAGCAAAAGGTAGAGACAAATAAGTTACTTCTGCTTACGTTTTGAACTTGCCGGTGTGAACCCACCAATGGCCGGTGTTAAAAAGCATGACATTTGCACCTCTCCAATATTTAGAAGATGGTGAAATGGACCCAAGCTTTATCACTCTCCCTTTTGTCCGACACTTGCATTCAAATCCACCAAGAATGGGCTCCAAAAGAACTCTACTGTGCAAATGTAGTCCTGTAAAATGTAAGCCATGAGAGAGAAGGGAAAGAGGAGAGAGAAAGGAAGCTGCACATTTTATCCCCCACCATAATTGTAGTCCTGTAAAATCTACTGCTTACGTTTTGAGACGTTGGACCATGAAAACTTAGCCTCTACCATCTCGACACAAGCCTGTTTTCCAAAGAGTTATATGTAATTGTTTGGACACTCAATGTAATTTACAGAGAGAAAAAGAGGGAGAGAGTAACTGTTTGGACTTGCTTTATTCAAAGGAAAAATGTTTTGTGAGTTGCCCGACTCACACTATTTTTGTGCAGTTTCCCTCCAAAATAAATCTCATATATATATTTTTGATCCAAAATTTTAGGGTTCGATAATGTCAACCTTGTATTTTTATTTTATAAAGTATAAATATTATTTTACAAATTCTTTTAATGGATGTAACATTTTTTGACACAATAGATAAAGGACCGCACCGTAATAATGCGTCGGATAACTCACCAAAATCCAGAGAGGGAGACTTATAATCCAAAGAGAGAGAATTTTACCAAGGCACGAAAAACATTATGCACTGCACTTTGCATGTTTACATACGCTCGAGATTGTGGAAGGCGAAAGCGAGAGACTCCCATTTGTTTCTATTCAGCGAATCCCCAATAAGAACTATCTGTTTCCCTCTCATCATCTCCAACAACTCCATCTCATTAAAACGTTTCACACCAAACAAACAACCCTTAAAATCAGAGTAATGTAAATGCACAAACCATTTTTTTTACTTAATTGAGACTAAACATGTAGTGTTTTATATCATAATGTTTACTTATAAGTACCATGCATGGCCTGCATACCTTGGAATTTTGCAATCTTTTGCTTCCCACCTCCATTTCTCATACTCGGAATCCGGTAGTCTCGGAATTTCACAATCTTTTGCTTACCACATCCATTTCTCATACCAGGAATCCGGTCGTCCGTTTTTTTTGGCAGCTCACTTGCTCCCTTAAGAAGAGGAACAATGATGAGGAACAATGATGTCGTATATCCGACGTTGCAATGGATCATATACCCATTTCCCATCAAATATGTTGCATTGCTTAGAATTTAGATCTATTTTTCTTTCCCTGCCATTTTCGATCCCTGACAGCTCGGGCAAAGGGGGTGGGAAGCTCATATTAGTCTTCAAGAGAACCACATTCCATCCCTCTGGGTCTTCTGTGGGTGACGTGGAAAGTTCAGTCGATTTCTTTAGGCCAAGGGTCACGAGAAACTAGTGGTTATGTCTTGTCTATGAGAATCAAAATGTTTGCTTCAGAACATGCTGATGATCGTCTCCAAAGGATTTCTTCTTCAATTCGAGTCATACCCAACTTCCCAAAACCAGGTATTCTTTCATGTTCCAAGACATAACTACATTGTTAGTTGACCACACGGCCTTCCGTGACACTATTGATATACTGGTGTAGCGATACAAGGATAAGAATATTACTGTGGTTGCTGGTAATTGCTGATCCTTCTTATTCGAGTAACTCGATGTCTTAGGATCTTGTTTCTAGTATCAGAATTGCATTACTAATTACATAAAATCACTTTCAGCAGACTTATATACTAGCTGATTGTTTATTTGAAGAAGGTATATGATCTGATTTTGAGTTTAAGAGACGCAAGCATTCACAAAAAGCCAGGTTTCTTGGCCGAGTTTTTGTGATTAACTTACCAAGGGAGGGTCCATATAATTTTGTGACTTATATGATATAAGCTGCTAGATTTGAGAGTAATTTGGAAAGACAAGCCCCATGCTTAATTTGACACCAAAAAACAAGCCCCATGCTTAACCTTATGTAAAGTGAAGCTGCATCATAGCTTACGGAAATAAGGATATGTGCTGTGACTGACTGATTCTTATGGGATGAGAACTCCTATTTCTTTTCGTGGAGTCCCCCGTGAAATGTCCATCACTGAGAACTAGAAAGTGACGTTCAACTTCAAATAATGTAGAAAGTGACCTCATTTCTGAAATTTTCTGCGAATTATTGTTTCCCCTCCCTTGTTCTGGATTTGTACACCTCTGCTTCCTAAATGAGAATAGCTTGTTGAGGAAGAAAGGAAAATGGTGCATGCTATGAATGGAAGAGGAAGAGAAACAGTGGTTTAATTGGATGACCATTGAAACAGTTAACCAACTTTTGATATGTTCATGTCTTATATTATCCTTTGGTGTTGAAGCAGACTTCATTGATGTGGGTGCCCTAATTAGTGAGTTAAGAGTGAGAGGATCCTTGAGTCGTTCTTTGCAACTTCTTATATTATTTGTCCCATGTCTCTGACTTTATTTACTAGTTTTGCATCTAAATTGGAATTCAATTAATGCTATTAGGAACAGAAATCGTGTAGACTTGCTATTAAGGCTTTATACATTTTGTAGGCTACATAGTTAATTGATTTTGATAGTGCACCTATATCTAATGTAGAAACATGATTCATATAGCCGACCCCAAATAACTGGGATAAGGCTTGGATGATGATAATGACTTGTGTCACATGTAACCTGTAGATATAAGAAATGATTATTGAGGTGTTACAGTGAGACTATAACATTATGATTTTCTCCGACATTTAAAAACATGATATTACTTTTGATTTGCATGTTGTAAGGATGTTATGGAATCTTTGCTTACTTGAATGTTTTAGTCGTTAAGATGTTTGGTTAATGAATTGAACTACTTGCTCAGGTGGTTTTTCATCACATGATGTGATGGCATGAATCTTGGGACCAAGAATCATATGATTATGTTCCATTATGCCTAAGATTCTAAACTTAGAATTAGGAATACAATGGATTAGAATGTTAACTTTAGCTTGAATTGTTATCAATATCAGATTTTGTGCAATGGAAAAAGTTTATACAAGGATGCTACCTTATAATTTAGAACTACAGATGCGCCTCAAAAATCCGTCGGAAAAGGTAGTTTTAATGTTGAAAAACCCTTTGATTGATCATCTCGACATCGAGATGTATGACTATGAAAAATAAAAAGATTTTAAGTCTCAGAAATAGTGCATTTTACAACATATTAACTACACCGTCCATTTTCAAGATTTTCATATGTTTATAGATCTACTTGATTTTTACTATTTTTGAAATTTAAAATTTTATAATCAGATATAAAAATAGATTTTGAGATAATCCTAATAAAATTTTACATCAAAATTATATACCATGATAAACTTTGAAGGGCACTGTACCTCTACACCTACGGAGGCGTCCGTATGCCAACTGCACCCTTGTGCAGTATTGTTCTTAGAATCTCATCAATTTTCTGTTCTGACATTAGTTTGAATGTTTTGGAAATATAAGCAGGGGAAAATTGAGGTAGCTATAGAATAATATCTATACAATGACTTTATTAGTTGATTCTTGCAGGAGTAGAAGCAACAGGCTTTATTTTTGGACCCCCTATAGCCTTGGGTATTGGAGCAAATTTGTTCCATTGAGGAAACCAAAGAAGTTGCCTGGTATCAACCCCTCAGCAATACCCATCTTTCTATTCTATATGTGATTTAAGTTTATCCAGAGTAGCAGAGAAATTGTCATTTCTTAATTTATTTTCCCTTGATCGTTTTTGATACTAGTATGATTGTCCCTTTGAGATACCCCTTTCAGAAATTTATTATGCTAAAAGGCTGCCTTCTTTTTCACATGGAAACCTAGAGGGTGGTGGTACCATTATGTTTACTTTAATGAAGTGAGCACCTTTTTGTATTTTGGTGAACTTGTTGGGTGGGTTTTATTGTGCATATGTGGCTCCACGAGAAACTAGTGGACCCTTGGCCCTAAGGAATCAACTGAACTCAGAGGCATGGAATGCGGTTCTCTTGAAGACTAATCTGAGCTTTCCACCCCATTTGCCCGAGCTGTCAGGAATCGAAAATGGCAGGGAAAGAAAAATGGATCTAAATTCTAATAAATGCAACATATTTGATGGGAAATAAGTATACGATCCATCACAATGTCTGATATACGACCCATCATTGTGCCTGTTCTTAAGCGAGCAAGTGAGCTGCCAGAAAAACGGACGACCGGATTTCGAGTATGAGAAATGGAGGTGGGAAGCAAAAGATTGCGAAATTCCAAAGTACGGAGGCCATGCATGGTACTTATAAGTAAACATTATGATATAGACCACTACATGTTTAGTCTCAATTAAGTAAAACAAATGGTTTGTGCCTTTATATTGCTCTGGTTTTAAATGTTATTTCTTTGGTGTGAAAGGTTAAATGGGATGGAGTTGTTTGAAGGCATTGTCGTTGCTATGCTGCTATGGGCTTATGATAATTGAAAATTGGATTCTTCTTGCTTCCTTGTTATCTTTTTGATTGGTGATCCATGTCGACATTTTGGATCTTAATTTGTGGCTTTAAATCTGGCTCATTCCTATTCCTTTGCCAGATTGTTGAAGGACATTATGTTTAAAGAGGTCTCTTTCTTCAAGATCAAATTGAGTTATTGTGTCATCTATTGAGGTTTATCTGAACTTCTGAAGCCTTTTTTAAAGAAGTTTAATCTGGGCATATGGCCCAAATACTTGACATCTATGGGCTTCCAGAGTAGGACACCTTGAAGATTTGCCAAAATATTCCATGTTTGCCACCACTCTAACTACATGCCCCAAATCCACATTCTCAAATAAATAGAGCCGTTCTAGTAGCAGCTCTTCATATATTTAAGCTTATAACCTTTCCTACTCTTTCATTTCAGTTTAAGTCCACACTAAACTTTTCATCTGGTTTTCCGGCAAAGGAATCTATTTTCTGGTTCTTTAGCTGGTGCAGAAATCGATGCTAATGAAGCCCTAGTTTTCTCCCTTCTGTGTTTTCTGAGTTTCCAAGCCGGAGATTCTGTATCCTGTATCCTGGTCAAGAATCAGAAACTAGTTGAGTTTCCTGTCATTTTGAGATTTGACAGTTCAAAGCTCTCTTTGTAGAACACATACTCCAGTCAAGAGCAAAGAAAAGACGAGATTCTTGCTAAGTGATAGTGCTTTTCTCTCTCTAGAGGGAACATGAAACAGAGATACATGATTCTCTCTCTCAACGAAAAGGAAAACGGAGATGTTTGATACTTAATGGTTTTTTCTCGCAAGAGCAGATACTAAACAGTGGTTCCTGAATCTCTCTCTTTTCTCTTCAAGTGAGCGACCCCCATTCATTTCTTGGTCTCAAAGGGGCAAAGTTTGAGGCTTTAATGAATGACTCAGGCCATTGATATCGAGAACTTAGGGCGGCGCCGGTTCCAGATCTCAGTCGAAGAACAGTGCCATAGTTTAGGCACCTCGCTTTTTCCAAGATACCTTTTGCAGAGGCTGAAGGCCTCATACAACAGCACAAATGAACTTTCTTGTGAAAAATCTGGCCCAAATACTTGACATCTATGGAATGTTTGCGAATTTTTTGAATGTCTTGTTGGAAAGTTGATCGTGTCTAGTGCCACAACTTTGCATTAGTTTATGCAATAACAGCTTATGCTGGAATTAGATCCCTCAACTTATGTTGAAACACAACAATAATCCTGTTTTGATTATTGGTAATGATATTGGCATGATTAATCATACCAAATCATAGCTAAGTTCTTATTTTGAGATGAAAGATATGAGAGAAGCTTCATATGTATTGGGCATTCCGATAACAAGAGATAAAAGTTCGAGACTTCTATGTTTTTTCAAGAAAATTATTTAGTAAGTATTTTAAAGAGATTTAAGATGGAAAATTGCATGCCCACATAGATACACCCATTTGTAAATGCTTGAAATTGTCAAAGAAAATGTGTTCATTAATGATAGTGACAAAGCTGAAATGGAAAGAAGAATTCCATATGTTCAAGCTATATGATGCATAAATTATGTCATGTTGTGTACAAGACCTGATTTGAGTCATGCATATGGTCTTGCGAGTAAATTTCAGAGTAATCTTGGGATGACTCATTGGCAAGCCGTAAAAAGAATACTTAGATATATTCAGAAAACTAAAAATTACAAGTTGTGCTTCCAAACTGATAACTTAGAGATTAGGTTGTTGGGTACTCTGATGCAAACTTTGTAGGAGACCCAGATGATAGAAAATCGACCTCAGAATATGTATTCCTCTTTGGAGGTGGATGTGTTTCTTGGTCTAGCAAGAAACAAGGTTGTGTAGCTCGGTATAATATGGAAGTCGAGTATATTGCTTGTAGCATTGCTACAACTTATGCCGTCTAGATTAAACGCTTCATAAATGATTTGAAACTGGATATAGCTAATGAACCTGTTAAATTTTTTTGTGATAATCAAACTGCCATCTCATTAATTAGAAATGAAGCTTATAGTTCTAAGGGTAGGCACATTGAAATTGATTATCATCATATTTATGATATTATTGAAAAAAATGAAATAACTGTAAGTTATTTGCCATCTTCAGATATGATTGCAGAAATATTATCAAAGCATGTAGCTTTGATGAGACTTAAGAATATTTAAGTTAGGAACTCCCAAATGAGATATTTTTCTTTGATGTCTTGATCATGAGAGGAAAAACCGCATTAGCGTGAAAAACCTCATGACATGACTTTGGATATATATGTTTTTTTGTTATGAGATGCATAACCGCATAAGCATGAAAAGCCTCATGACAAATATATGTTCATAAATATTAAACCCACTAAGTGATATAAACTTTATGATATTTTAATGTATCTAGCCCTCATGGCCAAGTAGGAGATGTTGGTATGTATGAGTGGCTATGAGGCCTAATATGTCCCATATTTATCACTCTTATTATTTATCTTAATGATTTAATATTTATAACTAAAAATAAAGGCTTCTTAAAGAGAGAAGATGTCGTTATCTAATGGGTTGATGATAACTACCCACCTCCCATGAATTATGGGTCACGTTTCTCAGAGTTTTAAGGAGGAAGCCGAACGTTGGAGAACTTCCTCCCATCCGTATATAACTAGGCTTTTTATGGCCATGGAGAGGCACACGCAGAGAATTAATTTTTGAGTTCTCATTGTTCTGGAAACACCTGACCTCTGCGATCCACAGTCTCATGACATTGGCTTCGACACCTGGGAATTTGGTGGGTCCATCTCTTCCCTCAAGATTTGAACAGGACCACCATTCCCATATGGTGACCCAAATAAGGGACACAAATTCTGTGCACTTTCATCCTATATATATAAAATTAGGAGTCCATTCTAAATAAACAACTTCATATTACACATCTCAAAACCCAATAGATATATCCAAAGAGTCCTAATCTTTTTGGATTTCTATTTCCTTTAATAAACTTATCAATATCAATCTCAATCCTACATAACAAGGAAATATCTCAATCCCACATAATATGAGAATATCTCAATCTCACATAATTTGGGAATATCTTAATCCCACATAATATGGTATTTCTTTATGTGGGTGATTTTGGATATCACCAAATCCAACATTCTTTACTAAAAGGAAGTTCCAAATTATTAGCCATGTTTTAGGTAAAGACTTAAAAAAAGTTCATTATTGGTCTTGGCTTTGCTGCAAAGGCTTCTTTGACGTAATCAACTATTGCTCTCTCTACACCCTCCCAATTACCTCCATTCACTCCTAGAACTTTGCAATTAGTTGATGGTATTCATTCTCCTTCTAACATGGGTAAAATCCTCATCTAATTTGACTTAATGAGTGAACATCAAAACTTTTCTTCTTCTACTATCTCCTAACCCCCTAACATTCCGACATATAATTTTCATGGCAAAGAAGATGCCCCACGTGGTCGACCTAAAGTAAAGAATTCTATTGGATTTGGCTGGGCACCTAACTCAGATAAACTATAATGAAGGAAATATTTGTATATAAACTGGAAAAGAATTTTTTTTTCCCCAATATAATGGGTTAAAAAGTGATGCTTTAAAGTGTGGGTTATAATGGACTTTGTAATAGATTTAATGGAATGTATTCAAGAAATATCATGTTCATAACCTAGGTAATGGGTATTTTGTTAAAAAAGAGATATAAATGGATTTTATAAGACACCCATGTTTTAAATTCTGAAAAAATGAAATATAGGCCGTCTTGCCCAATAAACAACGTTTGCTAGAGGACTCCAAATTCCCCATATTTGTTCATATTATATTGGTGGGCTTTGAATTTATATGGATTCGGCCATATTTTGTTTAAAATTGTTTGCTCTTTCGATCCAGGATTGTTGTTCAAAATTTCAGCCAAAAAATTCCTATAACTATGTTCAACAACTGGGCGTATACTCAGGGGTGGCAATGGTTGGGTCGGGTCTGTGTCGACTTGGACCTAGTATACACCTTGGCCCAACCTATCGAGTCGAAAATTTGGACCTGGACCTGACTAAGTTTTATATATGTGTGTGCGTGTATGTACATATGTTTGGGTCGGGTCGGGTCGGGTTGACCTAGATCTGACCCAGGTCCAAGGTTTTGGACCCAGACGCAATCAAATCCTAGACACGGACCTGGATCGGGTTGACCTGCCAAGTTATCAAGTCAACCGACCCGATTGACACCCCTTTATACTGTAGCTATGAGCCCAAATTCTTGACATCTACAGTTCAATGTACATAGCACTAACTCTCTCCAGCAAACATACGCAAAATCAATCTTTATGCAGCTAAATGGTCATCTGCAATCCCTTTGACAACGGGTGAGAATCTCCCGCATGCCCTACCCTCTTGTGTGATTTTTCGACTGTTTCTTTTCCAAGTGAACATTGTCTATGTGGGTTTCTATTTCATGAATTATTGTTCCAAATTGACCAAAAATAACTTATGATAAAAAACGTATCCATAAAAATCTCATCGTATTTTTATGAATTCTCATTTATTTCTTCCTTGAAAGGGCTCATCTCCTCTCCTTAGAGTTGGAGAGAGAGAGGCTAAGGAGCAGGGGGAAACAGAGAGAGTTTATAAGCATATGAATATCCACTTCATTTCATATGGGTTCTTCATTGCTGCTCATTTGCTCCATTTCTCTCATCATATGGAGCTTTTCTCTTAAAGAAGCAGCTGGAGGAGCTTCAGAAAATACCTACCAAAAATTATCTTCAGGCTGCGACATCTTTGCCGGGCGTTGGCTATATGATGAATCGTATCCTGTCATATAATTCTTCGGGTTGCACTTTCTACCACAACATGTTCGATTGTCTAAAAAGCGGAAGGCCGGATAAGCTCTACCTCAAATATAGACGGCAACCGTATGGCTGCAACTTGCCGAGGTAATATCCATTGAAGGGCATCCCATAGCTCAGCTTATCCGAGTAAATCGATTTCCATTTTTCTCGTACTACTTTTGTTTTAATGGTGTGTTGATTTAATTTTAGTTTCAATGCTCTTAACTTCTTGTCGAAGATGAAGGGAAGAGAAATTTGTTCGTTCGGGATTTGCTGGCCCTGAACCAGTGGCAGTCACTTGCATGCATGATTCAAACCATGCATGATTCCTGGTGGGTTTCCTTTTATCTTCTTTGCGGTATACATGCCTAAGCTTTTTCTTTTTTACTTTTTTTGAAATATTAATTTTTGGGTAGAGTTGGGGAAGGTTCATTCTGCTCGAGACGTCATGTCGTAGTGCCCACTTGAGTCAATTTCCTAAAATATTATGATTTCTATTTTGAATATATAACATATAATTACATTTTTTTTTTTTTTTTCTTTTTTGTGGCTGATCAAGATGGCCTTATACTATATCCCATATATTGTGTTTGCTTGCTGCAATCTTCCAAATAAGTTAATAAGTTTTTGTTTGTGTGCTTTAAACTTGTGGACGCATGCATGTTGTATTTAGTGAGCTTTTGTGGCATGTCAAACACTAAATTTGAGGTTGGGATGAAAGCGGCCTGATCTCCGTGTGCATAAATATTTAGAGGATATTCTTTTCCCTAATGGCACGTTTGGTATGCACATGAAAATGGTCCACCTTAATTGGGTTTCAAATTGATGTGAAAAACTCTCCCCCTAAATCGTGTTAGGGAGTTTTTTCATGTGAAAATACTTTTGTTGAAGTATTTGGTGGTTATTTAGGACTAAATTATATGTTTGTTTTTTTTTTGCTAAAACACTATTGTGAGGTGATTTGTTTGAAGCCATTGTTCTGAAATAGTTTTTGTATTCCCAAATGGAAAAAAATTATGTAAAGTTGCAACTTTAAAATGCAGAATTAAAGATACACCTAAAAAAGCCATTAGAAAAGGTTGTTTTAATGTTGAGAAACCCCCTAGTTGGTCACGTCGAGATGTATGAATATGAAAAAAAAAAAAGGATTTTGAGTCTAAAAAAATAGTGCATCTTGCAACACATTATCTGGGCCATCCATTTTCAAGATTTTCATATGTTTATCTATCTACTTGATCTTAATCATTTTTGGAGTTTAAAATTTTATAATTAGATATGAAAATAAATTTCAGATAACCCTAATAAATTTTTACACATGTCATAATAAAATTTGAAGGTGCACCTTAATTAAACTGTTTAAAGTTGCAGCCTTTATAACAAAAAAAAAAAAAAGTTTGGGGCTCATAAGGTGCTCCATATCAATTCCTCCTCTAATCAGATGATCATCAAATGGTGGGTTTAGGAGCTCAAAATCCATTATTTTATCAAAAGGTAATCCAAGGATGATTTGAAAAAAAAATTGGAAAAAAAAAAGAAAGAAAAAAATTGTGGTTATCGAAGTCTTCGACATGTCTTGGGACTAACATGATCAAGCCTTTTAGTTGCACTTGTACGATATTTCTTTGGTTCGAACGACTTACATCCCTACCCTTATCCTTTCAAGTATCCTACCATACTTGGGTTCAAAATATCTAGGGACTCGGACTCGATCGAGTTACACAAGCTTGGTTCTGTGCTGAGCCAAGTCTCAATGTATGACTCGGGTTATTATAAAAATTTTTATAAAAAATGTGTTCTTGACTAAGTCATTAAAAAAATATTTTATATTTTATTTTGATGTTTCGATGATGATTTGTGAATTTTTCTTATCATTTGCTACATTTGTGTATTTTCCCTATTTTACATTTTTCTAGATTGTGTCCATAAATAAATTATTATTTTTTTGAAAATTTTCATATTGCATATATTTTTTTCATATTTTTTGGACTCATGTTGTTGTTTATAGTTTAGTCGGCATTTTACCATTCTTTATTTTTAACAATTTTTTGATTTTTTTACCATTTATTTTTAACATTTTTTTATTTTTTATTTTTTATTTTTAATATTTTTATGTGGACATTACTCTGCCAGATCGACTCAGACTAGCCCGACTTACTCAGCTAAGGCAATTCTAGAGTTTTGAGGCCAAGCGTAAACAACGTTAAAACACCACGTCAAAGCCTAAGAATTAAACTATTGATCATCTCCCAATATCCTTCCACATTGTTTCAAAGTACCCCGTCATTGGGTTTTAAAGTTTATCAAATCACGGGCATGAAATGTAAAATAGTTTAATTATGAATTAAAAAAAAATGGAGCCTATGGTGTAGTGTTAACCAATATCCTTCCAGGATGAAGTAGGGAGTTGTCTTTATCTTTTAGAAATTTGATAGAAGAATATGGAAAGAATCGAGAGATATATTTATTTTTGTTAGTTATCGTTTTTATTTTTGGTAGGTAGATATGTGAGGGGTTTATCTTTTGAGAGTCACGTGAGGAGGTGATTTATATGTATAAAAGGCGACACATACCATGTAAAGGGAATGGAATGATGAATGGAAAAAAAAAAAAGATTTTTGAGATCGTGTAGAGTCAGAGAGATAGAGAGCTCTTTGTGGGTGTTTTTCGTCTTGTTTGCTTATCCACGTGTTTTGTTTTTTTTTCTTGTGATTTTCTTAGAAATTTTTTTTTCTCTCTTAAATTGGTTATTTTTGTTGGTGTTGTTTGCCAGTAAATTTTATACTGCCTCAAAACTGTAAGGGAAATTTGTTGTAAATTGACTAATAGAAATTTGTTGTAAATTGACTAATAGATGACATGTTCTTTTTCCTTTCAAGCACCAAAAGAACACTAGAAATATTAAATTTTGAAAAATTTACGTACAGACTATATATATTGGGGTCAATTACAAAATGAGATCATGTTTGTCCCAAATTACAGGCGGCAACTTCCTGCAGGTTTTTTTTCTCCCAAGTTATCCCCTATCCAATTATGCAAACACCTGACATGTGGGGTTTATACTGTACAAAGTAAAATTGTCCGTTGTTTGAAGTATCGGACAGCTATCTACCATCCCCAAAACCAATAAGCCTTCTCTCTCTCCAAAACATCGTTACTCTGTAATTTTTTTAAAAAATAATATCTCTCAACCCTTCTCTCTTACTCTCTCTCTTCTCAATCCATCTCTCTCTCCCGTAGAGTGGACTCATAGTATTGCAATTCTTGGAGGAAAGAGAAAAACCAAAAACCATAATAATCAGGTCATACCTTAGACCCAACTTCAAAAAGATGCCCATATTCATCAGACCTTATCTCATCAAACTTTTTAGAGGTATGAAAATTTGGGTATGCTACATGGAATTTATTGAATGATTCATTGAGGTCAGAGATCGAGTCCTCACTGTCAAAGATCTTCTCAGCTGTGATGTCTGTAGCCTTTAGGAAAGCCAGATATTGAAATTCAAATGAAACAAACCAGGAAAGAGCAAAGAAGCACTGAAACGTTCAGAAAAGATAAAGGAAACAAAAAAAACTTAATGAGAAAAAAAAAGCTTAGAGAGAAGGGAGATTTCATTTGTAATAAGAGGTCTCACCAACACTTTTGACATAGAGGCCATTTGAGAGAAAAAAGAGTGATTTAGACGCTCATGATGTAAACCCACATCCTAAAAACCCATATCCATGGTTTCCAATCCCAACTAAAACCACCTTCACAATTTCCACCCGTGAAGAAAAAGGAACTCAAAAACTCCAAAAATGAAAACCACATAGAACCCCACCTCCTTTTCTCTTTCTAGGCTTAAAAACCCCCAAAAACACAACAAAACCTCTCTCTACCTCTCTCACACACCCAAAAAGGCCCTGAAAAACCAACAAAACCACCTTTATCCCTCTCTCCCTACCTTCTCTGCAAATGAATTAACAAAACCACCTTTATCCCTCTCTCCCTACCTTCTCTTCAACTGAATTAAAAATAATTCCTCCTCCTGCAATTACTTCAATGGGTCAAGCCAACTGAATTAAAAGCAACCCCATTGACTTCTATTGGTTAGAGAGAGAGACAATGAGAGATGAATCACTCTTCTTTTCGTTTTTTTTTGCATGATGAAGTGTTTTGAAGCTTTGAATAAAATGGATCTTTTGCCTATTGTTAGGTTAGGGGAGAGAGATGGGTTATAAGAGAGAGATGGTGAGAGAGAAGGGCTGAGATAGATTATTTAAAAAACATGGAAAGTCACGATGTTTCGAGATAGAGAGAGGACTTGCTGTTTTGGGGATAGAAGATAGATATCCGGTATTTCAAACATCGGACAACTATTTTGAGAGAGAAGGATTGAGATAGATTATTTAAAAAAAATCAAGAGTCACGATGTTTGGAGATAGAGAGAGGCTTGCTGGTTTTGGGAATAGCAGATAGATGTCCGGTATTTCAAACACTCGATAGCTATTTTGCTTTGCACCGTATAAACCCCACTTGTCCGGTGTTTGCATTAACGGAAAGGGCGTAACTTGGGAAAATAAAAATGTCGTGAGGGGTGAGGGGGGAGGGGGGTGTCACCTGTACTTTGTGACAAATGTTATCTCATTTTGTAATTGACCCCATATTATCCATACGTAAATTTCTCTTGAGCTTTTAATACCCAATAGTAATATTTGTATCAGCAACATGTGAAATCGTTAATTGTTCATCATTCTGAACCATGACTATATCTGTGCCTCTATAAGAACAAAGATTTTGCAACTTACCTGGATGTCCTGTCATATGAGTGGAGGCAACTATGTTTGAGAACCATTATGAGTCTTGTGAATCAATTATAGTCATTGCAGCAAGGGCCCGATGAGTATCTTATGCTTGGTAGTTGTGGTTGAATCAATTCCAACACTTCAATGCAGTATGTCCAAGTTTCCCACAAATTTGACACTTTTCTCGATGTATTTGAGCTGACTGTTGCATCTGGGAATCTTGTTGTAACCATTAATCCATGTGTCACATAGAAAGTGTACCACCACTTTCTAGATTTTTCTAAGGCAACCCACAACCCACATAACGGATTTGCATATTTGAACAAGCCCATATCCTTGAGAGTTGAAGAACGGTTGGCCATCAAAGTTGTTTCTCCTTCTACCTCCGTAATTCCGGTTACCTCTGTTGGGTCCAACAAATTTTGTTGTAAAAAAAAGACCAAATTTCGATTTGGATCTAAGTGTTCTTGAGAGACATCGGATTGATTTCTAATCTTATGGCTTTGAAGAAGATGTATAA